CACCTAGTATGTCAATATTTATGCGTTCCATTTCTTTCTTAAAAATGTCCAATTTTCCTATATTCATGCTTCTCACATTCCACATTCGAATCACTAGTGTCGCCTTACAGCTGTTTCTCTTTCTCCGTGTTTCCATTTCTAAGATCTCAATTTCAATTGCCACGTCTGTTAATCCAAATGATAAGCTAAGTGTGCTCTATTGTACATAGGGTTTTCGAAGGCCTGTAATTTCAGAAGCGGATGGCCAATCCTTCTTCCTAGTCTGTCTCAATTTTTAAATATATATATAATAGTATCTGACAAACAAGCATTCTACAGAAGAGAGTAGATAAAAGACATTTACCAGTTAGAAGGACCAATATTCAATGTTGCTACAACCCGGCTACATGTTCTGTTGGTTTTGGGTTTTCTGTTTTTTTGTTTTTTGTTGTTTTGTTTTTTAAATCCACCCTTACCCTACTCCACCACCAACCCTTCTTACTTTTGCTTACAACATTCAACACCTGTCTCCCGTTAACCAGCCCCTGATGTGATGTCCTAAGTCTCAAACAGTCAGAATTTCTCTGATTCTGCTCATATCATGCTGCTGTCAGTCTCTTATGATGCAGTCAATATGACTTCAATTTAAAGTTCTTTAAGTACATCTGTCATGTACAGCTTCTTTTCCTGGAAGATCCTGAGAAAAAATCCTCTTAAACTTCCACTCCAGGATTGACTTCTTGTGGGTTAATACCACTTGTTTTCCGTTTGCAGCCTGGTGCTGATGCAAGCGGTTGGCTTCCCAGGAGAGAGAATGTGTCCCCTAGGACCAGTGAACAACTTTTGTGGCCCAAAACTAATTCTCTGGCAAATGGCGTCCTTGGGGGCCCCTCTTCCATCTTCCCGTGGGGTACCTGAATAAGGCGTGGAGATGAAATCTCTGCCTCTCTCCCCTTTCCTGACTCCCAAAACTAATTCTCTGGCAAATGGTGTCCTCGGGGGCCCATTCAGGTACCCCAGGTCTCAATAATGGGGATGAATAGCCTTCCCTCCAAGCCTCTTACCACTCACCAGGCATTGTCAACCCTATCATATGGTATCTTTCCACGTCATCTGTAACCTCTCACTACCAACCTGTTTTTGTTACTCTAAAGAACTTTTCCTGCTAAACCTCATTTCCTGTCTCCTCACAACACTGCAGAGGTCTAAAACCCATCATTACTTGCCTACTTTCCTATGAACTTCTTATCCTAAATAAATGAATAATCTTTTGTTGTGCAGTCCCACACCCACACTGCTCAAACTTCTTAGCCTCCAAAGGATACAGAGTATCCCCCTTTCAATGCCCAGCTGTTTCTCCTCACAGTCACATATATGAGTTTTCCATTAACTCCCACCACTTAAATTCTAATAATCAATCAGCCCATAGCCATTGAAAGTCTCAGACCTCCTCAAACTGCTGATCAAAACCTCTCCTTTCTCGGATTTATTGGTTTCCTCAGGCACTGGATCCCCAATTTTTCTTTACTTACAAAACTTTTCTCAAACTCCAATACTTCATTCTACAGTTCCCATCCCTTACTTTACCAAATTCCTCTAAACGTTTTCACTTGTTCACTGATGAAAATGAATTATTGCTGTTAATGTTT